GAGTATGGGTCACCATACTTGGCCACATGTCACGTCACTTTTCACTTTTTCACTTTTCACTCAACAATATTACAGCGAGAATAAAAGTTACTCCTTCTTTCTTTGTGTGAACATTTGGGCGGTGTTATGCAAATCTTCCCACATAGTGAGGTAGGTATGTGGGGGCGTGTTCGAACGAGCCGTTTTAGGTAGGTGTGGCTAACTCTTAACTTTTATAAAGAATATCTCTTTGGATTTGAGACTTTAGTCTTTGCAACTTTACAGATCTTCTTTATGCACCAAGAGCTTGTAACACTCTAAAGAGAAAGGAAAAAATGAAATCGCATCATATGACCCCTTTAAATTCTGAACTTTTTTTGTCTAAATAAAAACACTAAAAAATAAACCGTTTTTAAATGCTAGTAGTGAATGTAGACATCAAGATTTTAATGTTTCACATAGTTATTCATTTTGTGATTTGCTAAATATAACATTTAACACTGTTATTAAATTATAAATGTAAGCAAGACCACCAACTTCAAGCTGATACAAATATAATGCATATTAGGGATCCACCGTTATTAAAATTCTGGCAATAAGCCTATAATCATTTTTATGTTACGGTAAATAATCAATAAATTGTTGATATTCAGAACTTTTTGTACTCAACTAAAATTTGAAATGCTATAAATTAATTTAGACATCACTACTATAATATACAATATGTAAAATTAGCATTTAACAGTGTTAATTAAAAAACATTACCCTTACCATCATCTAATGTAAAAACAGGAAAAAATGAGTATCTACAATTAAATGTCATATACTTTCATTCACATACCTTTACTCTAGGAATATCGAATTAATGAAAGCTCTACCCTTGCTCTTCCAAAGGTAATTACATTACCTAATAACAAATTAACTTACGAAGAAACAAATGTTGATGCTGGCTGACTGGTGCAATTTTTTTTCATCTGCCCTGTACAAAGGTTATACTCAATGTGAACCCTAAAGCCTGGTGAGAGTGGTCAGTTGAGAAGACAGCCAATGATATCAATCCCTCCAGCTCACCCCACTCACGGGTCAGATCTTCAGCAGGTGGACACACAGCGGACTGGAATAGATTGATTGGATCCTGGATCAGATCCTATTATCTTTGTAGCATTTATCATCATCTTTTACAAACCGACCTCTGTTTACTAAAAGGACAACACCTTGTGTCAGGTTGACCTGAACATACACTTTCAAAGTACACATCAATAATGCTATTGAGTGGCTGTGATTACAGTTCTTATACAAATATTAACATAACCCACTGATGATGTTGTCATGTCAGTTCCACTTTAGAAAGTCTAACTCTCTGTAACATGTAGTTTTAAAGGATTTAAAGGTCAGATAAAGTTAGACATGTCAGAAAACATTAATAAAGGGGACTTTATCTAATAATTTTCGATAATAACTATAAAATTGTGGAAATTTTGGATGTTCAAAATGCCGTCTCGGCTCTAGGACTTGAGACGCAGCTAACGTTACACGTGTTCAGTCCATCACCGTGGAAACGGCTCGTTTTAATAAATGAAACACGCTCAATTTCACCCAGATCTCTTTGATTAATGGAATCCAGTATAGCTCTTTTATTCCGCCTAGTCTGATCATTTGAATGTGATGAAGAAGATGATGAAGATGATGGCGCTCTTCGTCAGATGAGAAACGTCAAACGCATCATCATCACAGCCAAGACATGCTTTTCCATCACATTAACTCATCATGTATTAAAACAATATTTACACACTTTAAGCTTCATTCAGACCAAGTAATGACGTGTAATATTCAGATGTGATGAAACAGCCTGCTGTTAGCCAGCTAGCGTTCCCTTTATCTCTTTCAGCCATCTATAAAGTTGTCGCAGTAAACAAGAAAAAAAAAGAAAAAACAATCCCCTCGTTAAGCATCACTGAGGTGAGAGATTACAGTAATGTAGGAGTAGCTGGCTAGAAAACGATGCCGGTTAAATCTTCCCGGCTTTTAGTCTCTTACCTTCACAGCCGGATCGGATGCTTGAGTCTCTCGCTGCCGAGCGCAATGACCGACAGTTACCTCCAGCGCGTGCTGTCACACCCGGAAATATTGCGTCATCTGACTCCATATTTTTCAGCCAATAGTAGTCTAGACAATGAAGCAAAAGCGACTTCCTGTTACTGCTAGTGCACTTCAGGTCACGACAATAATAGTTCTAGTGATAATATTAGCAATAACACACTTAAGACACACATTTCATGTTCTGTAGTATCATAAACAAATATATAATAAGCAAATAATGGTAAAAAGCTAATTGTAAAATCCAAATCTAGAATCTAGACTGTGAAGTAGGAGCATGTATTGGGTGTTTCAGGGTAATATAATTCAGGATGTGATATTAATTCAATTCAAGTTTATTTGTACAGCGCTTTTCACGATACAAATCATTGCAAAGCAACTTTACAGCAAATTAAGTTTCTACAATATTTAGTGGTAGCTTATCAGTGGTGACTGTCAGTCAATGTACATCTGGCAGAAATGTACGGAAAAATCAATCAATAATATAATATTCTTGTTCTGTAGTTTAAAAAAATATACTTATGCAGTACAGCATCAGTAAGACTTATTGGAAATATGATGCTACAACAAAATTTGTGGGGGAAAAAAACATTAATCAAAACAGTTTGCTCATTAAGATCAATTTTATTGGCTGCTATTCACATGGTCATATTAAAAAAAATCAAATATTCCATGACTGCAAAATGCTGTGTTGTAGATTAATCAAATGCAAAAGCTGTTCAGTCCATTTACTTTTTGCCTTCAACCATGATGATGTGGTAACCAAACTTCGTTTTCACAGGAGGATCGGTGTATACAGGTTTGTCCATAGTGCTGATGGGTAGTGCAAATGCTGCATCCTGAAATGGTCCCACCATTGATCCTCTTGTCATCCAGCCAAGGTCACCCTGTATGCAAATCAAAGCTTTAAACTAAAGAAGCCGTCGTTAAGGTTGTCTTGATACTTAAAAAAAAAAGAGGCATAATTTGAATAACAAATTACAGAGTAGTACTAAAACATACTTTGATCAAAATTGTAAAATTAAAGGTATATGCAGTTCTAAAGGTAGGCACCAGCTTTTCCCAGGTGTTTTAGTTTTCTACCTCGATGCACAATTCAAATGTTAATACAGTACTGATAAAACACTTTTTTTATTATTATGATAAAGTTAGAAATATCAGAAAACATTAATAAAAGGGACTTTATCTAATAATTTTCGATAATAAAAACTATGACTCAAAACCTACCTCTAAGATATATAAAATATATTTGCATAAATTTTGGACATGATCGCATGATGTTCAAAATGCCATCTCGGCTCTAGGATTTGAGACGCAGCTATGCGTTTTCAGTCCATCACTGTGGAAACGGCTTGTTTTAATAAATTAAACACGTTCAATTTCACCCAGAGCTCTTTGATTAATGGAACCTGGTAAAGCTCTTTTATGAAACATATTCTTTTATATAAACTATTTTAAAAAGATTGATACAGAAATTATACAGAAAGGCTGTACATTAGTGTTATAATAATAATAATAATAATATTATTATGTGTTCAGTATTCTATGCAAATTAGATTTTGAGCAATTTTCCAACATGGATAGTGCATTGAATACCATCTGCTGGTAAAAAACAAATAGTACCCATAGGAGCTACAGGATTTTTTTTTTTTTTTTTTACTCTTTCCACATCATGCAAGTGAGCATCTCTGGAGAGACCTAAAAATGGCTGTCCACCAACGTTTACCGTCCAACCTGACAGAACTGGAGAGGATTTGCAAGGAGGAATGGCAGAGGATCCCCAATTCCAGGTGTGAAAAACTTGTTGCATTTTTCCCAAAAAGACTCATGGCTGTATTAGATCAAATGGGTGCTTCTACTAAATACTGAGCATTTTTCAGTTTTTCTTTTTTAATAAATCTGCAAAGATGTCAACAATTCTGTGTTTTTCAATCAATATGGGGTGCTGTGTGTACATTAATGAGGAAAAAAAATTAACTTAAATGATTTTAGCAAATGGCTGCAATATAACAAAGAGTGAAAAATTTAAGGGGGTCTGAATACTTTCCGTACCCACTGTATATACACATACTGTATATAAGAATATAGGAAACTTTATCTTGTCTAATTTTTTTCTTTTAATTGGCTAAGAAATTAGATACACTGTTGGACAATAACCAATAAATGATTTGTTAATGTACTACAAACGCTTTTTTTTTCTCCCATTTTTATCACATAATAAGGCAGAATAGTTTCTGTGCTGTAATAAATGCTATGTCAAGTAGCACTGAATTGTTCGTATACATTATTTATTACCTGGAGATGATTTAAAAAAGCACAAATAAACCATATATTGTCGCAATCGTGTGTTTAATGACTTTACGTTTCCAAAGGTTTTTGCCTTTTATTCAGATCATACAGTGAAAGCTGGACGCTTTTGTCCATATTAGGGATTTCCTGGTACGTCTGAGTTATTACTTCTATATGAGTCCTTCTTGCACGTTCTGCGCGAGAGCGCCCTCCTGCTTAGAGTATGAATGAAACACACACTAAATTAGAATGATGTTCATCTCACCTCATTCTGGGTACTAATAAAACATTAGGTCATGCAAAGACTATCCTATCTCTTTGAATTTAAATCTATATTCAGTGTGGGGGTACATATATATATATATATATATATATATACATACATACATATATGTACGTATGTATGTATGCATGTATGTATGCATGTACGTACGTATGTATGTATGTAAGTATGTATGTATGCATGTATGTATGTATGCATGTATATATATATATATATATATATATACACACACATACATATCTAACCTTACTGTTGTCACATTTCCCTGGTTAAATAAACATTACATAAAAAAGGCCAAATACAATTCTATTTTGTATTTTTACACTATGTAATATTCTGTTTATCAAAACCAATAAATCTCATCAAGTTAGTGTTTTTAAGTATTTTTAAATTTATTCCAAAATAATAACAAAAGGCAGTAACAATACAAACAATATATTTTATTTGTCAACTGATGTTCAGCTGTTCAACTAGTGAATTTTACACTTTTTTATTTCACATTTTGTAATACTTGCGTTGTTTTATTTTTGTAATATCGATAACTTTCTCATCCAGTTTTTTTTTCTCTAAAGAGACTCTGCCTCCCTTGCCTTGACTGATGGCAGGCAACGACTGATGGCAGAAGCCGTACAACACACAAACATCAGAAATTCTTTAATCTTAAATTATGATCCTTTGAGGTTATGTAAATTTTGGCAGGTTATTTTACATTCATTTCATGCATGCAAATTAATAAAGTGATGAATTAAGTATAGAATTTTTGTAATAGCTACAAAAATGAAAATGGGCAAATGTGGGATCACTGAGAAATGAAATGTTTTTTTATTACAATTTGTATAACTACGGTTTTACTACTAATAGGATGCTTAAACTATGGTGAGTGTAGCAAAATGTTTTAACTGTAATGTTTTAACTTTGTTGCAAACAATTTTTACTGTTATTTTATAATGAAAAACAGTAGTAATATATTTATAATATTAATAGAAAGCATTCAATGTTAGAAAAGATCATTTATGTCATGTACTGTAAATGCCCTACATGTTTGAGGCATTAATTGTAACATTAGTATATACACCAAATATTTTGACCATACTTTCTTCTTTCACAGCAGGAAAACATTTTTGAGAGACACCAGGACTGCAGCTGACTGGTGTGGTAACAGAAATTTAAATAGATTTTTTTTTAATATAAAAAATTGATGATGCATACTACATACCAACAACCAGATGAGCACCAAACTAAATCCCTACACAAAGCTGCGTGGGCAGAAAGTTCTCCAGAGGAACTGTTTTTGTTTTTGTATTTGGGGAAAAAAAAGATTATGAGGTGTTCTGCACAGAAATGGTGTCAGGATCATGGACCTGTTTTGTTGTGTTTTGCCCCTGTTTTTGTTCCTGTGTTCCCTTATTTGGTCATGTTCCTGTCCTCGTTTAGTTTAATTAGTCATTCTGTGCACCTGTGTTGGTTAATTATCCCTTGCATTTAAGTTCTTGTCTGTGCATTTCTCCTCTGTCGGGTCTACTCGTTATGTACGTGTGTTTGCTCCAGTGCACATTGTGTGGATTTCCCCTGTGTTCCTTGGATTAAAGTCTGTTTACGTTTCCTCGTGCCTCCTGCGTGCTTCCTCAACAGCGTATTGTGACAGAAGACCCGACCAACACAGTCAGCTCCGTGTGTCCACCCTCTGTTTTTGTTTCCCGTTTTCTCTCAGTGTTTTTGTTTCCGTTGTGTTCACCCTCATGGATGCCCTCCTTCGCCCGGAATATCTCCTCCTCCTGCTGGAGCAGGGGGAGAGATCGCTCGAGGTCCATACCAGACTGTTTCTGGCCCTTGTCCATCTTACCAGCTACCCGGACGACGCGCTCTGCTCTTTCTGCGCCGTCGTCCGAAGATGGTCCTTGGGCAGATTTCGCTGCCTTTGTGGAGTGGATTCTGGAGAGAAACGGATCGCCTTTCATCGTCCCTCACGAGGATGATCTCGCCAGATCCACTCCAGACCCAGTGCCCAGCCCACCATCTCTCCGCGGTGCGGAGCATCAGCCCGAGCCCACCGATGACGGAGAGCCCATTACCGCCGTGATCAACGAGCCAGCACAAAGCCGAGCAACTGAGCGGAGGATCACCCCGATGTGAAGCCCCACCCATCAGACCAGGTGCGAGAGCCGGCGACAGTGCCCACCGCGAGGGAGCAAGCCATGGACAGTGAGAGCGCGGAGTGGAGCTCCGCCCACTGCACCGCGGCTGAGGGTGAGCTAATTATACATCTGGGACTGCTGGACTTTGAAGGGGACCTGATAGACTGGGAAACCGATCTGGAGGTCGACTTGCCCCCTCTCCTCTTCCTTAGCCCACCATCTATACGGTGCCATCCTCCATCTTCGCCATAGCTGGAGCATCCCTCTCTCCGGCTGCACCTCGTCGCTCCGTCCCACCGGCTCCGTTGGGCTCTTTCCTCCCGCCAGCTCCATCTTGGTCCTCAGTCGCTCCAGCTCCGCCACGGATCTCCGCCTCGGTCGCCAGAGCCCTCGGCTCCACCCTGGCCCCCCGGATCCTTGGCATCCCCCTGGCTCGTTGGCTCTCCGTCTCCGCCTCAGGGCTCCTCGGCCACCTGCTCCGCCTGACTTTTGCCTCAATAAACTATTAATTACTGTTCAGGTATAGGGTAAGATGTACAATATGGTCACGCACAATAAGGCATTAGTATGTACTTTATGAGTACTAATAAACAGCTAATATAGTAATATGCAAGCAACTAGTTAACTAAAGTGTTACATTAAATAAATGTTTGTGTGAGCGCGTGTGTGTGCGTATATACAGTATTGTCTAGCGGCAGCTGGGCACTCCTTATGTGTGTTCTTTATGGGAAAATGCTTATGCAATTTAGCTTATTGGGTTCATATTCTGATCGCATCTGCTTGCGTCCCTGCTTGCATATAATATGCATCATCAAATCTTTTATTTAAAAATAAAACAGTGTAGTTTACAGCAGAAACGGTGACAAACAATCGTGACTCCTGGTACGAACTCTGGCAGCTGATACATAAAAATGTATAATAATAATAATAATAATAATAATACAATTGTGGGAACTTTGCATCATCATTTAAAAAAAACACCACCGCACGCCAATGAGAACAGTGTAGTTTTTACCGAGCAAACAGCAGAAACGGCGAGAAAGACTGTGGCAGCTGCCACGAACTCTGGCAGCTGCCGTGGCATCTGGGGATGCCACCGGAAGTGGCGCTGCAACCTGCCGCTGCCAGAGAGAGTGCCAGCCCCTGCTGAGTTTTTTTTATTATTAAAATGTTTTAAATAGTTTTTATTTTCATGTTTTCATTTTTAGTTTTAGTAATTTTGTTGTGTGTTCTTGTTGTTATGTTTGCTTGTTTTTTAACAGGTCTATATATTTTTTTATTAATTTGTATTTCAGTTTGAGTTATTTTAGTACATCAAGTTAAACTAAATGAAAATGAGAATTTTTGCTTTGGCAACTAGCTGAAATAATACGTTTTATATATATATATATAATTTCAGTTAGCATTTATAGTATTTGTATGTAACAATTTTATGCAGATACAGTATACAGATGTTTACCTTTACAGCTGTACCACCTTTCTGAGCCTTCTCCTTCTTATCACTGTCCCCACTGCCTGAAGCAGCAGCCCCTGTCCAAATACAAATGTATATTAGTATCTTAAAAGTACAACTATGCAACTAAGATAATACCTATCCATTTGTATGTGCACTTGCTCTATTAAGCATTTTGAAATAACCATATTAAGCGAATCACACATTTGGCCACATTCCTCACGCAATTCACACTTTGACACATTTAGTAAAGATCCAATAGCCTGAAATGTTTCATTAACACTAGATTGTACAAAAACGAGAAAAAAATTCAAAAAAAGAGGTGTCAACAACAATGTTTACAATCTATTAGCCATAAACACTACAAGGTAGCTAGCATGTCAGCATAAATATTAGTGCAGCAATCAAATTATATGCTATAAATGTCGATATGGTGTCATTTGTTAGATTTTGTTCATGAAGCATCATATATTTGTTGTTTACCTTTAGCGCCTTTGCCACCCTTTCCTTTTGGTGGCATTTTCTATCTCCTCGTGTCAGATGTGTTTCCACTTAACGTTACACCTCAGCTAGCACAGAAGAGCTAGTAACAGATTCCCACGCGGTTAGAATGAAAATTACACAGCAGCTTTTTTTTAGCCTACAGTTTCACAGTATACGTTATTTAAGTCTGTGTTGTGTGCTAAACGACGCACGCAAATGCAACTATTTAACCGATGCAAAGAAACTATCTAAAACTATCTTTAACTTTGCGCATATATGAGTTAAAAGGACGCGCATGAGTACATTGAAGAGGCATGAACAGTTTCCGTTTTCACTCCAGTGACGATCGATTTTTTATTTATTTATTTATGGTGATGACCAATAGATGGGTTAATATGTTTTAATTACAACAGTATTTTTTTATTTTATTTTAAATAAAACAGATTATAATAGTAGGATTGTCAATGACATTTCTGCGCAAATGTGCCCAGCAATGATGCTCGTGAACAACCTAACACCGTAGACCCTCATGATGACCGTCCCTCTTATGTAGCCTGCTTTTGTGGAAAGTATCGATTTTATTGCATAACAATCATTAAAATGTTTAATGTTATCTGTTTTATGCATTTATGTTTTAAATTACCCATGCATCCTTTAAATTAAGCAAGTAATTCGCCTTTAGGCAGCTAATGCTCGAGTCAGAACGAATCAGATTTCCGTTTATTGAGAAGCAGCTGTTGCCATAGTAACATGAAGACAACACAGCCGCCTTCTGCAACGACGCATTATCTTAAAAAAAAAACAACAACAACCATAATTTAGACTAGTTTTGGTCAATAATGCATGATGACCCACAGGTAACAAAGATTTTAAAGATGTTTGCTTTCCAAAAAGTTTTTCACCTGGCAGTCAAACAGTTTAGAAGTTGATTTATTGAAGGCTCATATAATAACTCTTTGCTTACATTTACATTTAGTCATTTAGCAGACGCTTTTATCCAAAGCGACTTACAAATGAGGACAATAAAAGCAGTCAAAACTAACAAAAGAGCAACAATACATAAGTGCAAATGACAAGTCTCGGTTAGCCTAACGCATTACAAGTAGCAAGGTGTATATATATATATATATATTATACACACACACATATACACACACACACACACAGAAAAACAAGTAGATAGAATAGAAAAAATTACTAGTGTTTTTGTTTTTTTTAAATAAAAAAAGAAGATAAATATAGATAAAGTAGAATTAAAATAGAATAGAAAGTGCTAGAGTCAAAAAAAAGTGGAACAGATGTGTTTTTAGTCGTTTCTTGAAGATGGTTAAGGACTCAGCTGCTCGGATTGATTTGGGCAGATCATTCCACCAGGAGGGAACAGTTAATGAAAAAGTCTGTGAAAGGGATTTTGTGCATATTTCTTACATATCTGGTGTTTCCTTTAGACAGACATTTCTTATCCAAAAGATAAGTGGCCATAATCATATCCAGCTCTTAACTGGACAAATGAAATGTTCCTGCCAGTAGCAAGGGAATAAAGAAGATGTTTGGTGATTTGATGGTGTCATGGAGAAATATGATAAAGTCCTGACTCTTGGCAGAGGAGGAGCAGGTGTGGTGATGTTAATGAAACATGTCGATACAAAGAAATGATGTGCAGTCAAGAGAATACACGTGGACAGTTCCTGAAAAACAAAGAGCAAAGATGTGTTGCAAGAGGCAGATATTCTCAGGAGCTTGAAGCATCCTCATATTATAACATGGATTGACACTTTCTTTGACACAACTAATGAGCATATTTACATTGTTATGGATTATTGTGATGGTGGAACGCTGGACGACCACATTAAAGAGCAGAAGAGTGGGGAATACTTTGCAGAATGCAAAATTATGGACTGGTTTGTGCAAGTAGTCACGGCCGTCAGTTATATCCACTCTGAAAAGATCCTTCACAGAGATATCAAGCCTTCCAATGTGCTGTTAACCAAGAGAGGTGTGATTAAGCTTGGGGATTTTGGAATATCAAAGATTATGAACAACACGCTCGATATGGCCTCCACCTGTGTGGGAACCCCCAGTTATCTGAGTCCTGAACTCTGTCAGGATGTCCCATACAGCACTAAATCTGACATATGGGCTGTCGGCTGCCTGCTGTATGAGCGTTGTGCCCTCAAACCAGCATTTGAAGCTAAAAATCTCCTGAGTCTGTTTTACAAGATCATCACTGGAGAGTACATCAAGATCCCCGAGAGGTATTCAGAAGACATTCATACATTAATCGAGAAAATGCTGTCCTTGGTTCCTGAGAATAGACCGAGTGCGAGCAGCATACTTAGCATGACCTATATGCAAGAACATCTGGGAAATGCTCAAACAAAAGAAGATCTTAATGAAGAAATGGCATCGATGGAAAGCAGAACAGATAGTGCCTCAGCTGTCTCTGACAAGACACTGAAAACAGAGGCATCATGCAGCGCTGAGGAGGAAGTGGCCCATGAAGGAACAGAGCTTGATTACTCAGAGGACTTTGATGAACATGATAGCTATGCATCCTCAGAGGATGTTTCGAGGGAAGATGAGTCCTCCAGCCATGCCAATGTGGTTGAAGAGGCATTTGAGGAATCTACTGGTAAGAGTGTGATGTAACCATATTAATATTTTCCATTGTTTTATTATTATTATGAGTTATATCTCCAAGGCAACAGGCCTAGGCTGATGGTGATCTAAGAATGATTTCCTATTTTTCCTGGCTTTTCCAACACCTTTGAGGATTCTCTACATGTGTTTTTCTTCACTTTTGACAGTTGTGTTTGAAGACGAAGACATCTCTGACTATCCAGATGACTTTGAAGAAGCTGAGGATGATGACCTTGTTGAAGTGGTCATCTACGCCAGAGATGCCATGAACTGTGTTTCAGAGAATGACGTGTTTGATGTGGAACTGGAGCTCAAAGATGAAGGCGGTTTCTCTGTCACAATGAAAATGTTAAAAGAGAGATACATGGGTAAACATGCAAATGTAACATTTTTACTACAAGTAGATTCTTTTTGTTTTCTTTTATCACTTGATTTGTTGTTGTTGTTGTTGTTTTTTTTCCCCTTGGTGTGTCTTAATTAAATCAATGATGAATTTACCAATCTGCTTCAAATATAGTTTTAACAATCAAATGAGATTTTTACGTTTACATCAAGGTTGCAGTGGTCTAGTGATTTGCAGAACATGATTTCTATCATTACTGATTTCAGAGCATTTAAAATAATTAAAATAATTGAAAATCTCTCTCTCTCTCTCTCTCTCTATATATATATATATATACACACACATGGGTGCACATAAGTGGTCCGCAGCGGTCCAAAAAACTAAAATAAAGTGCAATATTATTATCAGTCTTATTAATTTATTTTTTTTATATTTATATTTAATGGGTAACAGTATATGCAGTGTGAGGACCAAACCAAATCTCCAGGTTCTCATATGAGAACCAGGCTGAAAAACTTATGTGCACCCCTGTATATATACACACACACACATACCTAGACTTTGTCTTTCATCATCTAGTACATCTGCAGATATCTCTCTCTCTCTCTCTCTCTCTATATATATATATACACACATGGGTGCACATAAGTGGTCCGCAGTGGTCCAAAAAACTAAAATAAAGTGCTTTATTATTATCAGTCTTATTAATTTATTTTTTTTATATTTATATTTAATGGGTAACAGTATATGCAGTGTGAGGACCAAACCAAATCTCCAGGTTCTCATATGAGAACCAGGCTGAAAAACTTATGTGCACCCCTGTATATATACACACACACACATACCTAGACTTTGTCTTTCATCATCTAGTACATCTGCAGATATCAGAGTAGTTCTGGATACTGTTTGCCAACACATCTGGTTCTCCGAGTGTCTCTGCATACTCAGGTAAATGCTTTTCTGCTTTCTGGATTTATAGAGGATGTTGGAGCCTCAGTCTATGAGGAAATCAGTGGGCATTTTCTAAATGGCCTCACGCCAGAAGACCTGCAGCCACAATTCCAGCACATAATCGGGACAGACCATCTGGAGACCTGCTACCTCATTTTCAACCTTGACCAAGAGACCACATGCTGAATCATGTCTGTTCAATTTAGAGAAAGTCATTTTCTGTCATTCTCTAATGATGAGTCATTGTTTAAAGATGAACCCCAGCAAATGATGGAATTGTATGAAGCATACAGAGTATTTTAAATACAGCGTTTTGTAATATATGTAATCATATATGAATTATAATTAATATTTTGAAATAGTGAGGTCTTGTAGGTATTTGATATCAAGAAAATGGGACGTTTGAAACTCCTTTGAAAGTGTTACCTTGTATAACCAGAAGGTGGCACTCTAAATTAAGAAAATGTTGTCTGGCGTTAACATACCAGTCCAGAAAATGATCATATCATAGTCTCCCATATCGACACTTTTAGCACATCACAGGGACTGAAGTATAAAACAGCTGCCTTTTAAATTTACTATATTGTGAATACAAAAATTCATTATATCAGTGGCACCCAGTCGACTACTTTTTTCAAGTGATTTAACCCATTTTTCTGCCTAGAGCTGAGAAATGATCTCTTAACACAGCCGTTAAACAATGCTTATAAATGTGAAAGCAGTGGAGAATATCATGTGAACATTTCCTGCTGTGATTTCACTCCACTATTGCAATGTAAAACAGAAGACATTTGCTGAATTTGTAAATTTATGGGCCACAGCTGCAGTTGTTTTCCACTTAAGGCGTTTTCCCTTAAACTTGTCCAGATTATTCCAACAGAGAATTAGAGATAGAGAAACTGCCATGTGAAACTGTATGAATGACCCTGCATTATATTTCATTTAAGAATGTTCACGATCTGCCTTTAGACGAAAGTGTGTTATCAAGCAAGCATTAACATGGGAAAGCTGCACCAACTTTTTTTGCCAGTATAAGATGACATGGATGTCCTCACATAATGTGGTTTTGGCTGTAGATCCTTTTTCATCAAAAATCAAGGCCATGTTGGTGTCAAATTGAGTGTGTGTTTTTATAGATGGAGTGGAATAAACAGATGTAGAATACCTTAAAAACTCGTTTTCACTTAAACTTAAACTGAACATTGAAAATGTAAAGTCATTCCCACAAAATACATTTATTTTTCATCTTATGTCCTGGAAAGAGTAAAGCATGGATCGAGGAGTCATTCAGGATAGAGCTTTAAAATTTTTCCATAAGCCTGATGGATTACAATGTGTTTCTTTATTTATCCATCTATGCATTTGTATGAG